GGGGGGGGGGTTCCTTGGGTAAATGTTAGATTGAAAATATTTACCAGGAAAAAAACTATCATAGAGTGATGATTACTTGATGGGTTTGTATTCTGATGGGTTTGGTTGTGTGGGAACCAGGCAAAATTTTGATACAATAAAATGCATACCAGAAATCACTATTATATGTACTTGATGCTATTGACAAAAATAACGTCATTTTAAATTGAATGTTTTTTTCTTCAAATGTCTCTGTTTTATCTCTGTCATAATACAGACATCAGCTGAAAAGTTTGCTGTCTTCCATGTATTATTCATGAATTATATTACATGTTTTCTGAATGGATTCTGCTCGTTTATACTAGGAATTTGAAATAACAATTAAGTAATATAATTGCTTTCTGTAAAAATGTATTGGGTTATGTTGATGACTGACCAACACAGCATTCGACTGAAAAAGGACTCATAGCTCCCCAAGAGAAGCTTACATTGATACATTGATTAATTAATCATGAAAATAATTAAAAGTATCTTAAATTAGGTTCAACAGATAAATGGTCATTTTTTTCACCATTGCTGTCATCCATTATTCAATGTTTTCACATTTCACCAACAGCATCACAAGTAGCATCCCAGCTTTTTCTTAGACCATGTAAGAACAGCATTATTGAAAAGGTTAGTTTTCTCTCAGTTCCAACTACAGACAGCAGTATGAGAGTGACACGATACGATGGCCAGCACAAAGTGTTTCAGACATCTGCTTGCTGGTGTCTTTTCACACTGGGGCTAAACACAGCTCTGTAATGGCTTGTGAGGCAGCAGATGCCAGAGGTAGTGAGCTGCCTAAAGGTCAGGCTTTCCTTCAGCACTCCATGACAGACAACCTAAAGGTCATCTGGTCACAATCTGTTAACTGTAAACTTGTTCCAGCAAGGTCAGAATAACCAGCAGCAAACCTAGTTTTATGTCTCTCATGACTCACTCCTCCCAAAGGCACAATTTCTAGACAGGTTGATACTCAGTGAGTATTTCTGCTTACAAGGCACTGAATATCAAAGCACATCTTTAATCTCTCTGTCTCATCTCCCACCAGAGACGAAAATCACGCTATGCAGAGCTTGACTTTGAGGTAATTGTAGTCTCTTTGATTCTTACAAAGATTCTTAAACATGGACTAAAACGCTGATTTCTTCTCCCCAGACCTCTAAATTTTTTACATACATACAAACATACATGGAGTAGGTTGCAAAACAATTAATCTCTCTTGACAAATATATTGTATAAAATGTGTTAAAATGCATCAAACTTAAAAGTTGTAAGTGCATATTAAGTAAGTGCAGTATTCAGCTGTATTGCTTTAAAGCTCCAGCAATTACTTTCAGAAGTCACATACTTTATTAAATATTTGTATGTAAATATGTCAGCAATCCTAAATTCAAATGATCTAAACCTGTCAAATAATATTCACTTATTGCAAGTCCCCCCCCACACACACACTGAATAAACACCAGTTGAACACCTCTAAGTAGTAAATGTTACCACCAAGCAAGAGTCAGCAAAAAGCTTCAATAAATTTATTATTGTAAAATGGAAATGTGATGCAACCATAGAAAACTTGCTATATATATACTAGATAAGGTTGTTCATCAAAACTCACAGTGTAGGTAAGTAGGCCATTGTTCAGAAAAACATCCTGGAGGCCAAAGATAACTGTGATGAAACTGGGCAGCTTTTATGCAGAAATAGGAAGATTTGTATATAGGGCCACTATAAGCTGCACAGAGCTGGGCATCATGGCAAGGTAGCATATAAAACATTAATTGGAAAAAAATAAATAAATAAGCCAGACCATTGGGAATTTGCTTGTCTAAATAACTGAGGATCAGAGCGCCAAAGCTCCCACCTTCAGCTGTCACCATAGCCCATCCCACGTAGCCCAACTGGCCCCCATGGGTAGAGGCCTAGGCACTAGGCACTAACCAATAAGCCTCTACACCAGGCCTGGCTCCAAAATGGGACACTTGTAACGGTACCCTACATCCAGGGAAGACATTGAGCCCTTGGTTTTCTTCTGTCCATAAGAGTGTTGTAAATCTCTTTTTGTCCAGAATTTGGCTTGTCACCCAGGACCAATCTGCCTTGGGAGACCCTACTGGGGTCAAATGCCACCCAAAACATGAGTAGGATCATTCAGGAACACAAAATTATTCACCACGATAAGTTAGCAATTCACAGAGAAATCACAATCTTATTGTTGTGAAGAGGGGCATTACCTTCAGGGTAAAGCTTCATTTCTTGGTTGTGCTACATGCCTACCCTTACCTATGATCACAAAATCTCGAAAACGGGTAATCATACTGAGTTTTCTCAGCAGGATAGTTGGGTTTACCAGTTACCAGACAGGATAAGAAGTTTTATTATCTGGGAGGGACTCTGAATAGAGCCGCTGCTCCTCCACATTGAGAGGAAGCAGTTGAGGTCATTCAGGCATGAGGCATGGGTTCCCCCTAGGCATCAACATGCTGTGGGGATGTTTTTCATCTGCAGAGACTGGCAAACTGGTGAGAGTTAAAGAGAAGAAGTGTGGAGCAAAACACACAAATTATACAAATTCTTAGGGAAAATGTATTTGAGTATTCCAGAGATTTTAATAACCATAAACCCTAAACATATTGCTGAAGCAACATGGCAGTGGTTTGAGGAGAATAAGTTACATGACCTGTAATGGCCCAGTCAAAGCCCAGAGCCTAGTCCAACTGAGGATCTCAGGTTTTATTTTAAGCTTATTAGATACAAGCAAGTATACAAGTATCCAATCTGAAGGAGCTGCAAATTCAGTGGTTAGATAGACCAGTATCATGGAGACAGGCCTGAAGACACTTGATATTAACTGCTGCAAAAGATGGTGACACAAAGAATTGAGTTTTTGTGGGCTAGGTACACAAAGACTCACCATTTTTCAGTTTTATTCTGTATAGGTTGTTCCCCATTTAACTTGATTATTCTGAAGTATTTTTTGTAAATCGCAAGAATCAGAATCAACTTTATTGTCATTGCACAGTTAAGCACAGCGAAAATACATTTCAGTGCAGCCATCCAAGGACAACAGGGGTAGACAGGGGTGCACGTGGGCTGCAGCTTCGTTGTGAAGCACTGCCCTTCGTAAAAATCACTTCTGAATTAAAAATTCCATTGAAATTTCACATTGCAAGGCAACAAAACCGATTGATTACCAGGAGAGATTTATACTTTTGCAACCTATAGTGTACTTTTCAGATTTGACTGTATTGTTGAGATGAGGAACATTTAATGTAAAAAGGGGGGAGTAGAAATTATGGTCATCTGCGGTATTTGCCTTGTACATAATGTGCAATGTTCCTGTGTAGAAAATAATGCATACCCGGAAACGGCACCAGGACATGTTTCAGGACCTGAACAGGAAGATTCACAATGCAGACAAGGACAGAGAGTCTTCAACTGTTGATGCCAAAGCTGCTAAAAGATGGAGTGTGTCCTCTACCAGCAGTGACAAGAGCAACACGAGTGTAAACAGTTTGATTTTATTCTATTCTGCCCCTTTCCCTCTCCAGCATTAAATGTTTTCCTTTCCCTAGTGTAAAAAGTGTAAATGAATACATTTGAACTAAGTATTTTGATTAATAGTAATTGTAATGTTAAAGATTGTATTTTTATTGGCTTTTCATGTGTTACCAGAACAAATTATCTTATGCACTGAAGCCATAGGTGGTCATGTAAACTCATCAAAGCTTAATGCGCATGCACTACCTAATGATTGATATCGGTAAAGTTAATGGAAAACTTTCTCAAATTCAAAACATTTCCCTTTTAATAAATTGTTTCATGCAAGATGGGCAGCCAAAATGCTGTTTAAGATTAATCAGTTGTATGCTAATATAGATGAGGACTCAAGTGCAGACAGGTAAGACATCAATAAACTAAAATGGTGCTGTGAGGCAGATTATAGAAGAAAAGTTTTGTTTTTTTCTCAGAAGCAATTTCAGGAGGTCTGACAAAACAAAACATTGCATGAGAAAAAGGGCATTTTTCTTACAAGAGCAAATGTGAACCTGTTAAAATAAATATTCCAAGAAAGCTGAGAATTAATGTCAGTTCTCACTGGGCTGCCAACTGTTGGAGTTTATCTGGCAGACATCATTTGTGAGGAATTGTCCAAAATGTCCAAAACTTTACAGGGGTTTCCAGGATGTTTGTTTGTCTACGTCTCTATCTAGCTACCTAGCTACCTAGCTACCTAGCTACCTACCTACTACGTACTTACCTGACAACTGAGACAGATAAATAGGACACTGATTAAATTGTGACAAATACATTTGCATATCTTTTGCAGAAATATTCCATGATTGTTGCTTTTTTTTTTTTTCAGTTTCAAATGTAATTTATTTAATGAATACATATTCAGTGAGAGTCCAAGTGAAAATTTGCATGTTCTCACCAAATGGTATCCCTTAACTATTAAGGTCCATGCTCAATAATCCAGGTAGAAAATTCCAACAATGTTAAGTTAGGTTCTCTGGATGGTTTCTTTTTGTTGAAATGTTTCGTCTTTTAACCAAAAGACCATCAGTCTGAGGAGTCATAAAAAACTCAGTCCTATAAATAGCACCATAAAACTGGTTGACTGACTTTGTAAATGTGCTAAGATGTTTTCTTGAGTCCGTTCTCTCTTCCACCAACTCGTTTGAGACAGCCATGGCCAAAATGGTTCAACATATCCTGATACATGCTCAATAACCCAGGCGAAAAAATCCATAAAATTAAGTCAGGTCCTCTCGACAGCTTATTTTGATCCATTATTTGAGTGTGCTATTTATAAGACTGAGTTTGTTGTGGCTCATCGGACTGATAAAGTCTTTTGGATAAAAGAAGAAACATTTCAACAAAAATTAAAGCTGCAAGCAGCATTGAAGGCCCTCGCAGCAAAGCGCTGCTCCGGCCTTACGGCAACTGCGGGAGCTCCAGCAACTCCGCCCAGTCGCCATTGCGAATGCTCTTGTGCCCGTCCCACACCCATTCCCTGGGGTGCGCATTTGCCGAACCTTCAACATCACTTGCAATCACGGGCACTCCAGCAAACTCCCAGTCGCCATTGCGAATGCTCTCATGCCATTCCCGCACGCGTCCACCAGGGTGCACATATGCCTAAACTTCAATCACCTTCCACCCATATCAGTATGAGTCCGGCTGCAAGCCTTACAAGTTTGGCTAGAATCCGACCTTCCAGACAGGAGTTATTGTCACTTCCTGTTTTGTCACGAATGTAAAGGACTTCCTTTAGGCTTTTCAAAATGTCATATGTGGTAATCAACAGTTAGTGAATACTGTTTCAGTCTTATATCTTACACAGTGCCAAGCTAGAAGAGTCACCCAATAATCATCAGTTTTTTCTCTTAGTGGGCCGGGCTTAAGTCAAGTCATGAATCAACAATACAAGTGTGTCTACAAGTGCTCACTGATGAAGCATAAAAAAATCTAGTCTAGATCAGATGATGTATCACTGAGATATAACTGATTTAAAAATCTAGGGGGTCCACTTGAGTAAAATGTTCAACCACAATATCAGTGTGTCTAGACTTGTTAACTGATAATGCACAAAAAAACTGGTTCCGATTGGATGATGTACCACTGAGATATAACTGTTGGAATAATCTAGGGGGCGTACTGGAGTCAAAAGTTAAACAACAATACCAGTGTGTCTAGAAGTGCTCAATAATTATGCACCAAAAAAACTGGTGCAGATTGGATAATATATCATTGAGATATAACAGTTTGAATAATCTAAGGGGCACACTTGAGTCAAATGTTAAAGAACAATATCAATGTGTCTAGAAATGCTCACAGATGACACACCAAAAATCTGGTACAGATCGGATGATGTATAACTGAGATGCAACAGTTTGAATAATGTAGGGGGCGTACTGGAGTCAAAAGTCAAACAACAATTCCAATGTGTTTAGAAGTGCTCACTAATGACACATCAAAAATCTAGTACAGATCAGATGATGTGTCACTGAGATTAAACAGTTGGGAGAATATGGGGGCACACTTGAGTCAAATGTTAAAAAAACAATACCATTGTGTCTACAAGTGCTCACTGATCAGGCACAATAAATCTGGTACATATTGGATGATGTATCCTTGAGATATAACTGTTGGGAATAACCTAGGGGGCGCACTAGAGTCATATGTTAAACAACAATATCAATGTGTCTAGAAGTGCTCACTGATCACGCACAATAAATATGGTACAGATCGGATGATGTATCACTGAGCTATAACTGTTGGAATAATGTACGTGGTGGTGTGGAAGCTATTGGCCACTTATCATGGATACCTGTTCAAGGGGTGGATAATGATTGATCATAGTGATGTTGGTACACCTCGGCTGAAATCTGTGTATTTTAGAGCAAAACATATTGCAACGGCATCACTTCTTGATTTGCCACGCCCACATTCTCCAGCAAAAACGGTTTGCACTTTAAATCAAGTCAGACCATCTTATCTGTCTTCTAACAAGGGATCATCCTGATTAGGTCAATGGTGTCAAAGAGGGAGCATTCCAAGTAAAAAAAAGAGACTTCCTGTTCTGAGGGGGCGGGGCTTTGATAACGTCAAAATTTGATGACAGTGGATCGTCGGACATCCAACAGGGATGAGTCATGCCAAGTTTGGTGCATTTCGGTCTTTCAATGTGAAAGTTATAGCGTTTGGAAATTTATGGCGTGAAGTGCAAATTTGAGGCCTGGCCATGCCCCTTTAACATAAACACAAAAGCAAGCTTTTTGATAACTTTTACTCCCCAATGTATTAAGGGCATATTAATCGAGTTTGAAGGCAATCACTCAAATCCCTAGGAGGAGTTCTTTAAAATTCGCAATTAGAAACGCCCACAAATGACCTTTTGACCCAAAATGGCCAACTTCCTGTTGGTTTTGGACTAGGACTCCAAGAGACTTTTTCATAGGTCGTGAGACGAAACGGATGTTCACCGATTTTCAGAATTATCGGTCAAAAAATGGCTTGGGGCTGAGGTTTTAAAATATTCTATGGGGCGCTGTGGAGACTATTGGGCAATTATCATGGCTTCCTGTTCAAGGGGTGGATAATGATCGATCATACTGATATTGTTGCACCTTTGTTCAAATCTGCGGAATTTAGAGCCAAACGTATGTCGATTGTGTTACGTCTTACTTCACCACATCGCAACGCCCACATGCTCCACCTCAAACTATCAGTATTGGAAAACAAGTTACACCAATATGTCTTCGGTCACTGGACACACTGTCATGCTGATCAGGTGACAGGGGTCAGATAGGGACCGTTTAAGGTAAAACTTTACACTTTCTCCTGTCAGGGGGCGTGGCTTAAGTGATGTCATGATTTGACCATTCAGTCTTGCAGGGGACCAGATGTGGTTCAATCACTCAAGGTTTGATGTTTCAGACAGTTTTCGTGTAGGAGCTATTAGCGTTTCGTTTTTCATGACGAGATGTCAAACTTTTAGGTCTGGCCCTGCCCCTTCAGCATGCTTTGGTTTGTACCGTTTTGATAACATTTCGTCCCCCCTGCTTTTTGACCAAAATGGCCAAGGTAGAAACTGATTGAGCAAAATACCTAGGAGGAGTTTGTTCAAATGCGGAGGCTGTAAACTGCCAAAAAGTTGTGAAAATTGGGACGACATTCCAAAATGGCCACCTTCTTGTTTATCGTACAATGTTGGTGCCAGAGGGTTTTCTGTGCATCTTGGGGTATTGGAAAAGTGTATCAAATTTCATGTTTCTACGATAAACTAAGGTTAATGCGGAGGGTATTTTAAAAATTTCAGGTGGCGTTCTTGAGCCGTTTCTTTTGCGATTTTTGCCATGCCCTTAAAATACGTAATTTTTCACCAGGCCTGATGCGTCCGCCAAATTTGGTGACTTTTGGGATATGTTAAGGTCCCCAAAACGCCAATTCCAAACGATATAGTATTGTATCCTGATGCATGCTCAATAATCCAGGTAGAAAAATCCAAAAAAGTTCAATCTGGTCCTCTGGACATTCAAAAAAACAAAAAACAAAACAAAGCAAAAAAATATAGAAACGTTTCGTCTCTCATCCAAGAGACTTCCTCAGTCTGAGGTGCTGTTTTCAGCTCAGTCTCTTAAATAGCACCTTCTCAGAGTGGATCAACCAGTTTTGCTGCTGACAACCAAAACCAGCTGATCACATGCTCAAGAAGGACCATCAGCCTAACAATGGATCATTAGCACACTGATGGCTGTTTACTATTCACAGAGGGCTGAGTGATACTAGCAATCACAGCATTGTAAGAGGTGGACAATTGAACACGTAGGCCTCCACCCCTGTTTAACGATGGACGATTTCTTTTCACAAAGATGGCCTCCTTTACTCCTCTCTCAAATCATCGTTCCTCTCTATCCAGGATGTGCACATCTTCATCCCTGAAAGAGTGACCGCTGGCCTGGAGATGATTGTAGACCGCAGAGTCCTGGCCTGATGATGT